AATTTTCCCTAAATTAAGTCATTTGATTTTGTTTTATTTTTGAACATAACTTGAATAGCATAGTGAAAATTGATTATTAACCAATGACAATTGTGGTGGAGTAGTATGTGCTTTACCCCGATATGAGACTTTCCTACGCGAATCTGAATTTATTCGGGCGAAAATTGATTATTGAATGCAATTCTTACACAGAAAATTCTGCAAAATTTGAAAGAGAAAAATCTTATGGCCCAGTTATGTTAGATTATCTATTGGGCCCAACTTTCTATTACGACTCTAAAAGCCCATGGATCACTGAAATCCTTTCACACTGATTAATTTTCCTTTTTTTCTTATTTAATTATTTAATAAATAGATAGAAAGTGTATAATAATATATACTCAATACTAAATAAATTAATCGAAAAGTGAGACAAATAAAAGTTTATGTAATAACTATTAAATAATTTAAAATATTCATGGCCCTAGACGTAAACACTTTGATCAATTAAATTTCCAAATAGATAGAAAGTGTATAATAATATATGCTGAATACTAAATATACATATATTAGTGTACATGTAATAGATATACATTATCCATATAATATACGAATCTATATATTACTATATATTTTAAGCTATAATGATAAAATCTATTATCTGAACGGTATATATCTGTAACTTTCTCCCATAATCTTTATTGTGTTTTAAAAAAAATAAAAGAGTCCTCTAAGCAAAATAATAAATAGACGGACTCTATATCCTCGATAGGGGAAAACGTCGAGCCCCCACAATTCTTTTATAGGTAAAAGAAAATATTGAATACATTTTAAGTTGTTCGAATAAATCAAATTTACACTCCAAACCAATTAGGTGATTTATTATACCCTATTTTTATTTTTAATTTAATTAATATCATAATACCCTAAAACATATGAGATGGTGCTTAGGCATTATTGATAAAACCCCACTTTCCCTTATAACTTCATTAGTTTGACTAAGAAAGATTAGTTGAATTGACTTTAACTTTAATCAAAATTAATAATGAGATCAGACTACGCTTTAACTTACTTTATTTCTAGCATTTGAGTATGACAGTGTTATAGTTCGATCCAGATCGTCATGAATGACGCCCACACTGATTCTCTGACGAGAGAACCAACTACCAACACAAATCATAAATCAAAACATCATTTCTAAAGCCAAGTCACTATATAAAAATAGATAGGAAACAGTCCTAAAACAACTAAAGAATTGAGTCCCTAATTATAATTATAATTAGCCAATGAGTGAGAATTTAGTTGGCTTTATCATGTTAATAGAACCATAATCACTTGTTTAGGGGAAACAAATTAACTAAACGTCATGACAACATGAGATTGATGTCATTATAAACCCCACTAAATAAAGAGATTTTCATATTGGATTTATGTTAGTGGGTTATAATAAATGTTGCTATAGCTATCATTGTGTTTTTGAATTGTAGAAGTGTAAAAGTTAAAAGCTACTTAAAACACATAAAAAGTTCATAAAAGGAGCCTAAAAAGGTTAAAACAATGAGGACAAGTAGTCATGCGTGTGAGCACCAAATAAATACTCCACCAATCTCCATCTCCCTCCTAGCTAGTCCAATGAAGTCTCATCTTTGTTAGCAACTCAACAAATATATACTATCATAGAGTCAGAATTTTTGTCGAGAATGATTAAAAAAAAAAAAGAAGCCAAATAACACTGATAAATAAATTATACTTAGATTTCAAGCTAAAACATTAAAAAATATCGCTAGCCAAATTTGAACATGCACAACTACTAGTTTTCAAACACCCAAAGCCGCTAAACCAAATCTCCGTACTTATGTTTTAGGTGGTCAATATTAAATATATAGATATAAAATATAAATTTAATTCTATATACACAATATATATATATATATATATTTTTTTTTATCCAAGAGGGTGAATCTACTAAACTCCATATTGTATAAACATAAAATACATATTTGATCCTACATACACAATATATATGTTTGAACAAATAAAAATATTAATATGACTTATAAAATTTTTATCGATAATCGTCCCCTCAATACCATCTAATTTTTTGTCACATGAAATACAAAGAAACGCATATATGAAAGGGTTGGCACATAGAATGAGTTGAGATTGTAAAAGGAACAAGTGTCCTCCGTACTATCTATGTGAGCCATTAGAAAACAAACATGTTCTCGTCGATCAACGATGCTTAGGGTGGAGCGGTAAATAATTTTTTTATTTTTAATCAGAAGTATTCTATATAAGTCTTTTTTTTATTAATAGTCACTTTTGTTTAGGAATGTTTTATCCTTAATTCGCGAATTTAAATTTAATCAAATTCTAATGTATAGTACTGACTACTAAACATGATCCTAGCCTGATTTTTCGGAAAATTTTGATAACACAAACTGATCTTTAAAATTTTCATCTGTTACGCGGATTAAATTATTTTAAAATTAAAATAAATAATTTTGTGGTTGGAGGTTTTTTTTTTATAATCAAAGTATTTTGGGATTATAATTTGAAACTTTTGGACTAACTAACGCGAGATCGGTTAAAATAGTTCCAAATTTAATTGGATAAGATGAGTTATTTAAGGATTAATCCAAGAAACAAATTTATGTTTATTTCATTAATATATTTTCTCAAAAATACTTTTTTGGGGGGGTGGGGGGGGGATTATTTCTATTTGCGTCTGAAAATAAACATATGCTTCTCGAAATATTTATGTCATGCCACTGTAATAAAAATGATTATTAGCGTATTTAATTGTTAATTGTCGCTAAATATGTATTTTTAACCGCAATTGTCACTATTTACATGTGTTCCTAGAGCCTTTAGCGACATCAGTTCTAATGACACTTAACTAATGCCGGTAAAGACGTTAGCACTTTTTATTAGTGTCAATATTTAATGCCCCTAAAAGTTATTTTTGTTGTAATGTGGATATGTTGAGATCAGACTATTATTAGTTGAATATTACGGTCTCAAACATCTCTAAGACAGTTTTTTTGTTTTTTAAAAAATGTTTTTCTATTTATTTTATAGCACAAAGAATATTTAATAATATATATGAATCATTTAGAATTTTTCGTTTATTTATAAAATTTATATTCAATATTTCGAAATAGATGTCTCACTGTTTCATCACTATTATCATGTATGTATGTACATGTTACAGTAGGTGGTTAGTAAATCCATATTAATTTGAACAAATCTAAACAAGACAATATATAATTTGGGAATAAAATAATAATTTCTTATTAACTCTATCTACTTATATATTTCAAATATTCAAAATATAATCAATTAAATAGTAAATAGTAAAATTTATATAATCTTTTGATTTTAAAAAGTAACTAAAACATCTTATAATAAATTGAGTTTTCTTTATCATTCCTAACATCTCATTATAAATAGAGTAATTTTCACATATAGCAAACATAAAATATATATTTGTAAGCTAGCTATAACTATAATTGTACTCCATAACAAACATATATATGTATATTTCGCTATACATATACAAAAAATGCAGTTATATAATTCGCTATACATATATAAAAGAAAGCAGTTGTATACAAAAGATCAATTGTATAATCCTTGTATATATAAAACGAGAAAGGAAGAAAGACACAAGAAAATTGGACAGACAAATATTTATTTTGTATAATTATAAGTGTATAGGATGAAAATATATGTATTTGCATGTGTATATGCAATTTTCTCTCGTTTTATACAAACATAAACACAATTTATATATCATTTCTGTTTGTATAAGCAAGAGAGGCGAGGGTGGAGAGCGAGATCTGGAA